GCAGGAATGAATGACTCTATGATCCTGTCTATTGGGGCTATTAGTTGGGGTGGGCATTTTATACCTTATAATGGTTCTTCTCCTTTCATTTTTTTCAGCAGGTGTTTATTAAGGGCCTACTATGTACCAGGCATAAGTGGCTCATGTGAGTGAGCTGCTAGTGAGGTCAGTAGAGACCCTGGGAGTTAGTTCATTTGTTCAACTGCTATGTGCCAGGCACTACTCAGCACAGCAGTGAACAAAATGGGTAAGACACTGACACAGTAGGAGGACAAAAACAATGCAGCAAGAAACAAATGTGTCACATGGTGATAAATGCTATGAAGAAAAGTAGGATAAATGGAGTAGAGAGGTGGGTGTGTGTGTGGTATAGGTGGTTCTGGAAAGCCTCTTTGATAAGGTGACATTCAAACACATGTGCAGGAAGTGCGGGAGTACTCCACGAAGGTTCTCTGGGAGAGAAAGCATTCCAGGCAGAGCAAATAGCAAGTACAAATGCTAAGAGGCAGGAAAGTATTTGGGGAATTGAAGTGGAGTAAGCAAAGGAGAGATCTGATGAGAGAAGCAGGGGGGATGCAAATTGTGCAGGACCTTGTAGACCATGATATAGCTTTGGGTTTTACTGAAAGGGAGACATGAAGCCAAGAGAGGGTTTTGAACAGGGGAGCAACATAACTTGGTTTTGGTTTTAAAATCAGTCTGGCTGCTGTGCGGCGAATAGACTGAAGGGATTAGGGAAGAAGCAGGGAAAGAAAGCCTCATTGCAGTTGACCATGTGGAGCAGCTGTTCTTGGATGGATCATGGCAAAACTAGGATTTACCTGGCTGAGGAATGAGGGGTAGCCTCCCAACTTTCAGTGCACTGTTGTATGAACAGGGCACAACTTCAGCAACCATCATTTCACAGAGTGGAGAGGATCAACCCCTTTTATGCATGTTGCTTTCTTATTTTTTCCTCATTAATTTTGGCATGTAGAAGGAAGGTATTGTAAAAATATAGGAAGAGAAGAAGCAGTCTCTTGATTAGAGCAGTGAGCTTAAACCTTGGGAACCTGGCAAGCCTGAACCTTGTCAGGAGTCACAAAGAGCCACTCCTCATTCTGCTCCCTCCTTTCCTGCCCTTTTTAGGGTAATGTTGGGGGAAGGAGGAGTAGTAATGATCTTGCAACACCTTGAGGTAGTATAGATTGTTGGAATGAAAAGAACTTTAGAAATCATCTAGTTCAACAGCCCTCCATTTGCAGGTGCAGATATGGACAGGTGAAGTAACTCTTCTGAAGTCACACAGGTAGATCCCTGGCAGAGCAGGGATCCTGAGTGTTTACTGCTTTGTCTCCGCTCCCAAAGGCTCAGGATATGTCTGAGTGGGCCTCATTCTTCATAGTAAAGCCCATTTACATCAAATCCTGACAAGAAGATGGTAGTAATGAGTTTACATTTCTTTGCCTAGGACCAAGTCCTCCATACCAGGGACCAGGCCAAAACCAGATTGCCACTGCCCCCACTTGGGCCCAACTGTCCTCAGAAAACAGCTGCTGTGATCATGGGTAATATCTTTGGAAACCTTCTCAAGAGCCTGATTGGGAAGAAGGAGATGCGCATCCTGATGGTGGGTCTGGATGCTGCAGGAAAGACTACCATCCTATATAAGCTGAAACTGGGGGAGATCGTCACCACCATCCCCACCATTGGTAAGGACACAGCTTGGATGTAGGCTTTCATGCCAACAGCTGAGCCAGGCGGGGGGCCTATTCCTAGATCCTCTACCTGGCTACCAGGCAAGTCCATGCAATTTGTGGGATTCAGGGAAAGATGGTTATTTAGCTTACTAGCAGGTGTTGGGGCTGCCGTTTGCCCACCTACCCTCGCCTTCTCTGATGCGGAAACTTCTACAGCCTGGCACTCAACAGTTGCCCTCAGGTACTGAGTTGGTTTGTTCTCTGTGTTGTTTGGAAAGCAGGTGAAGGGCTTTGATGTTCTTGCCAGAGGCCCTGAATTGCTTCAGTTTAGATCCTCGGTGGCCCTGATCATGGTTAAGACCTGCCTGTGGGAGGGAGAACATTTGCTTTGTAAATAGGACTCCAGATCATCACCCATTGGTGGTTCTGCATTTGGGGCTCCATACTTTAGCTTACTTTTTCACTCTGCTTCGAAGGCCCTAGTTCTTAGCTGAGACTCTGGTGGCCACATTCTGTGATACAGGAGTGGAACTGAGTCATTTATTTTTGGAGGGAGAGCCAGAGACAGAAAATGACTTGGGAAGGTTGGCTCACGTTACTCAGGTGATTTTGAATCTCCTGATTGGCCCTCCTCATTCTCTTCCACTTCTCTTAGTTTTTCTTTTTGGCCTTTAGGCAGTGAGGTCAGGGAATGCCAGATCTGGGGAAGCCTTAGCTTACTTTCCTTTGCTGGGATCATGGCCAAGGGTAGGGGAAACAAATGAACCCAGTGGGGCATCGTTTATAGGCCTGATATTTGAAGCCAAGTGGCCATTGCCTGTTTTTTTCCAAAGGGTTCAATGTGGAGACAGTGGAGTACAAGAACATCAGTTTCACAGTTTGGGATGTGGGTGGCCAGGACAAGATTCGGCCTCTCTGGAGACACTACTTCCAGAACACCCAAGGTATGGCATATGAATTGCCCAGAGACTGGCACGGTCGGTTGGGTGTGAACAGCGTATGGCTGTCATTGTTGGTTATGGGCAGCCAACCCTGCCCTGCTGCAGCTCCTAGGGGTGGGAGAAGAGGAGCAAAGGGAGCAAATATTTGGAGGGTATAAGAAGGGTGTTGTCTTTTGGTGGTGGGGGAGGGGAATTCATCTGTGACCTTTGTGCAGCCCATGCTCTGCCTCCCTAGGGTTGATATTTGTGGTGGACAGCAATGATCGGGAACGAGTAAATGAAGCCCGGGAGGAGCTGATGAGGATGCTGGCAGAGGATGAGCTCCGGGATGCTGTGCTCCTTGTCTTTGCAAACAAACAGGTGAGACTTCTCCCATCCCTAAATTTGAGAGAGAGAAAAACTGGCCGTAGAGATCAGGGGCCTTGGAGCTCATTGTATGGAGCTCATTGAATGGGAAGCCTTATGCTCTCAATTTTGGAAGTGTGGGAAATAGGAGATTTATTGGCATCGTTATGCTCCTCTTCTTATCCTCCACCCCAGCTTCAATTATCAGTATTCTGTCCTCAGAGATTGGTGTGGTAGATATATCACTTCACATCTCTCTTTCATCTTGCCTATTGTCTTCTTCAATGGAACTGCCTTCATTCCTAACGTCAGACAGACCTGATTCTTTTCCCAATCTGAATCACTTCTCTACCAATTCCATATTTGGTTTCCACCAACGCAATGGATTGACCTCTAGTGCCTTGAATCGGGGGTACTGGGATGATTAAATCCAAAGTGGCTCTTTAGGATTTTGTTCTGGGTCCTTACAGTGGAGGAAGAGGAGAGGGTACTGGTATACATCTTGTTGGTAGGTGGGTGCTCTAGAAGCCTTCGAAAGATCCTGAGTCTCCTTTTTGTGTGTTTCCCTTGCACTCCAGGATTTGCCTAATGCTATGAATGCTGCTGAGATCACAGACAAGTTGGGCCTGCATTCCCTGCGTCATCGCAACTGGTACATTCAGGCCACCTGTGCCACCAGCGGGGATGGGCTATATGAAGGCCTGGACTGGCTGGCCAATCAGCTCAAAAACAAGAAGTGAGAGCCAGGCAGCCCTGTCCAGCCGCCCCAGCCACCCTTGACATACCTACTGTCTCCCTGTCCCAACCCTACCACTTCCTTCCCATTGCCAGTGTGGCCAGGACCCTGGGTATCATGTCCGCATGCCCAACAAGAGCCTTGCCTCTCCTGCCTCCCCTCCTTTTTCCTGTCTGTGACCAGTCCCCAGTTGCTGTCTTGATGATGAATCATTCCAATTTATCAGATTTAAAACAAAAACAAGGTTGTTATGGTTTCATGGGTTGCCCCCCTTATACTCCGAGGTTCGAGAGGTGGGGTGGGGTAGTCTCTCTGCTTCGTTTGGCTCTGATTGCTGTGGTCTTGGCATCTGAGTCCCTTCTTCCTACGGGCCCCTCTCCTATTGTCTTCCTTTCCTTTGCCACCTTCTCCCTGTTCTACATGGAAATTGCACGGGCCTCTGTGTGTGCGTGCATGTGTGCGCGTGTATATACATGTACAGAAAAATATATATGTGAGGGCCAGGGAGAAGGGTGGAGGGGGTGGAATGCAGCTCAGGGCTTGGAGCCAGGACACTGCCCACTCTAGCTTATCATCCGCCCCTCCCATGTTGATGAGATAAAGGGAAGAAGGTGGAAGGAAGGCTGCTCCAGTCTTGCTACTGGTTCTTTTCCTCTCTGCAGGTAAGTTTTCCTGGATGATAGGACAGATGATGGATTTTACACTGCCATCTTCCTTGTATCCTTCTCTTCACCCTGCTTAGGGCAGGGAGGCGGCATTTATTTCTAGATTCCCAAGGAGATGCTATTCTGCTCTGCCTTGTTAGTGGGAAGGAGAGAGGAACCCATTCACTCTTATCAGTTCAGAGTGTTCAACTGATTCTCCCCCCACTCATCTTTAGATCTGTTCCTCAGGAGCTTGAGGAAGTGGTGGAGATAGCAAGACTGTGGTGTATGTTTGGGACCCAGAGTACTGGGGGGAGGGCCTCAGGTTTTCCATCTTCATCTTCTTTTGTTTTCAGGAGAAGGGGAGGCATGGATCAGTCCTATTCTTGCCTTCTCTTCCCCTCTGTCCCCCCAATTTTCTCATCTTGGGGGCTGGGTGGTTCATCTGTCCTTCGTCAGAAGTTTCCTCACCCTAGTAGTCCTGCTAGCTTGTCCAAAGCAGGCTTGGTGGTTGAGTGGGGAGTGGAACAGTGGGGGTGACATAGCAGACCTCAATATCAATTCCTCTGTTCTCCAGTATTCTTCTAGAAAGTCCAGGATGTGCTGAAGGATGGCAATTTTCTGTTTCCAGTTCCTCAGACCATCCTGCCATCCCTCCCACCTCCATCCCAACAGCTTTCCCCTGCCCTCTTCACCCACTCATAAATGGATCTGGGGGTTGGAGTGGAGGAAATAGAACTCTGAAGTGGTTATTGGTGCTGGTGGGATGCAGTGGTCTTCAGGGTCCTCCCCCTGTTACGTGGTTGTTTAAAAGCTGCTGCTACTGCGTCCCTCTGTCTACAGGGGGTGCTTGTCCCTGAGGTCCTGACTTCTGCTGTTTCTGTGAAGCCGTGGCTATTCTGTGGGCTCCTGTGTGTGCTGGCTGCGCCCTGAGCTCCATGATGGCCACCCATACCTTTCTGCTAAGGTCAGGACCCAGGGCCACCCCCCATCCCCCACAGCATGGCTGAGGGACCCCTTCGCAGAAGAGCTGTCCCAATCCCCACTCCGTGGGGCCAGGCTTCCTGCCACTTTTGTCTGCAACAGGCAGATCAATACCCCTTACCCCACCCTAGACTGAACTGTGAAAGAGAGGTTCTCGGGGTGTCTCCCTCAGTGCCAGTTCCTTAGTGATGTTTTACTTACCCAAGTTTCAGTGGGTATGTGCAGGTTTTTTGCTCTCTAGGCCTTTGTGTGTATGTGTGTGTGTGTATATGGTGGGGCGAGGGGAGTTGCTGGAGCTTCTGTTTCATTTTAACATGTATTCACTCCCAATTCCACAAATGTGTCCCTCCACACTTTTTTTTTTTTTTTTTTTTTGCCTCTGTCTCTATTCCTCAGATTTTTTTGCTCATGCTGCCTCTCTCCTTCATCTCTTTCCTTTGCCTTCTAATTCAGTCAGTGCTGTTGCCTGTTTGTCTCCCCTTTTCTTGTTTCTTTCCTACTTAGGATTCCCTACTCTATATATCCTTGTGGTCGGTGAGGACTTTGCCTCTTTTCCTGCCTCATCCCCTCTCTGACCCTCCCTAGTTAGATATCAGTCCCAAATAGGTTTTCCTTCATGCCCACCCCCACCTCATTTTGGAGGCCTCCAGGGACCACTGGGGCTAAAGGTCTTAGGAAGCTGCCTTGGAGTTTGCCTTGGTGCTGCTCAAGATCTGTCCAGCAGGGGGCAGTAAGTGATCTTGGTAGTATCCCTGACTGCTAGGCCCTTGGTGGGGGTGGCCCTTTCTACATTCCCATTCACCTAAAAGTTCTTTTGGGATCGGGTGTTTAATTCCATTTCTGCCCACTCCCTCCCTCAGTCTCCTCTGGTAGGTCTAATTTTATGCTTTCCTTTGTTCCAGCCTTTCTTCTCCCTGGAGATTCCCCCACTTCCCCGCCCCCTAAAGTTTGTGGTGTTAATAGTGGTAACTGCAGTTCTGAACTGATTTTTTCTCTTCTTTTTTTCTCCTCTGGAATGTAGATTGTATTTGTTTAATAACTCACCTTCTCTCTCCTTGCTCAAAATGTGGGATACGCGATGACTGTGACCCTGGTTGGAAATTAAACTTGTTTTATGCAGCTTTGGAGCAGACTTCCATCCTTGATGTGCAGCAGCCATGGGACAGTGGTTTAATGGTGAGGGTAGTTCTGTCTCTGGTTCCTTTCTCCAGTTGTTCCTTCTCTCAACAGATGGGTAAAGGCCACTTGACTGGGGGAGATTGAGGTTATGGAGGAACTTAGGCTCATCCCTACACTGGTTGCTTCTTCCCATCATACCCTAGAGGGGCACCTAAATGAGTTGTGCACCAGAGTGTCATGAATTTGCTCCTCTAGTTCTAAAGGGTTTAACCCTGAACTAAGCTATTTTTATCATCTGTTGGTAGACTTTAGGGTCTTCAGTGGCTAGAGGACCCTGAACTTTGAGTGCCCCCTACTGCCTCCTTTATCAGATCTCCCCAGCCCTGCGTGTCAGGTGCTTCTTGTTGGAATAGGGTCCCTTCATCCATAGATTGGAGTCCCTTCACCCATTTTGTTCTAGACTTTGGCAGTGAGTAAGCATGTCTAGGTAGTGTAATGATCTTGATCCTCTTTACAACTGATGGACTTGTATCCCCTCTCCTTCAAGCATGTTGTTTCCCATTGTCAGGATGCTGGCCTCATCCAGAGATCCCACAAATATCCTGGGAAAAATACCTTTTCCATAAAGCCTCTATCCTCCCATCTCACTCCCACCACTACTCTCTTCCTCTCCTGCTACTATTGTCTGGTTCCAGGCAAAGGAGAGGATGGCGCTGCCCTTGGGATGAGTGAGGTCTGGGTGAGCCAGGTAGGTCTTCCTGACTCTTTCTTAAGCTGTGGGGACAGAGGTCTTCCCACCCTGATACTATGAGAAAGGGTAGGTATTAGGCATATTATAAGTTTGAGAGCCCTAAGTACCAGTGTATCATTTATATTCAGTTACCTCCCCGTTCCCCTTCTAATTTTCCTTCTCAGCCCCTCTCCTTTTATTAAAATAAGCTATTACCCTCAAGGACCAGTGCTTCTTCTCTTAGGAAACCCTTAAACTGCTCCAACCAGACATCCCTTTATCAACTTCATAAACTTTGAACATTACCCACTTACCCCTCAACATCAGATGACACTTTCTTCCTCCTAGGCTCCTCAAAATTCCTGCTTGGTGATTGAGGTTACTGATTAGTTAAAAGCTCCTTTCCCAAGTCCTTCATTTGTATACTAACAGATAGATACCTTATAGAGCTACAGCCTCTCATAAGAATGATAATGGAGAGGACTTCAGCTTCATGGCAGGTCAGTGGGAATCTTTTGACCCCTGAACTGACTGGGGAAAGAGGTTGACCTAGTCCCTTCTGACCTTAAGCACTCCGTTTAGGATGCCAGGAAGGAGGTGGAGGGAGCCCTCTTGTGGCAGTTGCTTGAACATCCAGCTTCTTTTTATGGGACATGGTGGGATGAATGGGGAGACTTAACCTGGAAGGTAAATACTTAGGACAGACAGCAACCCCATATTCTCAGAACATGAATAGCTCTTCAGTCATGACTTGTCAGGGGGCCTGGACCCAGAATCCACTTCAGAATTATCCGGGCAAGGGAGCTTCCAGAATGAGCTTGGAGAAAACCAGTGGAAGGCCTTAGATTGGTCCAAGTGGGATGGAGGACAAAACCATTCCCTTCATTCCAGAGTATGGGGGCAGTGATGGGAAGAATGAGTGTACATATGTATGAAATTCTCAGATTAGAGGTGTAAGGCCTGAAGGCTCTGGGGAGTCACTGCATTGCTTCCAATTTGAGTGCCTAGATTGGACAGAGCAGAAAAGTGGCAGATATTTATTTAGTACCTATGTTTCTAGACCTGTACTAAGAATGGAGTCAAACCACTGTACTGAGTGGAGACTTGGGAATCCATTTTTGGGATGCTCTGGAATCCTTTGAGATATCCATAGTGTGCCATGTGGGGTAGTGACAGTTGGGGGAAAACTGTGTAGGGGGTTCCCTTTCTTTTGCTGCTGTTTGGTGCAGAGAGTGGTGTCTTTGGACAGGCAGTCATAATACTAAGAACAGCATCTTTTCCAGTTCTGAAGGATGTGGAGGTAGGAGAGTCAAAGTCCAATTCTCTACTCTCTAACTTGGTAACTGGAGGGATGGTGTATCATACTGGTCACTGGGGAGTGAAAAGATCCAGATGCCTTCCTTCTTCAGGTTTTTCATACTAATTGCGTGTCCTGGCCCTGGTTGCTGTGATGGGTAAGAGTAGGTGACCTGGAGTTCTTGAGCAAAGGGTTAGGTCTGAGGAAACCCGAGCCTTGAATATCACTACTGAGAAAGCATAGTGAAAGTGCGCTACTTCATAATAGGTGTCATGGAGTACAATGCTCAGTGAGGAGTTGGCTAGGACAATGCCTGTTAATCCTTCTACTGTAAATAGAAAAATGAAGCCTAAGGCAGTGGTTGGAGGTCTAGAAGTGAAGAACTTGGATCGAGACCATTCATTGTCAAGGCTTGAAGGTGAGTGCTTATGTGTCACTTTGGCTATGGGCTGCAAAAGAGAGTATCTGGGCTCTAGTTTAAAGTAAATCTGGCTTCCGAACTGAATGTGGTGAAGTAGAGAAGACACACAAGCCAGAACTCTGGCTATCTGTTTCCAGAGCTGAACAATTCTATCCATGCACCCTTCCTCCTACCACCCTTCCTCCAAACCAGGTGTTGAGAGAGCTCTCTCTGAGTAGGTCTGGCCAATCCAGACCAGGCAGGAGACTTGAGAATGAACTTGTTCACCTGACACTCCCTCCTGCCCACTTCCCACCCACCTTCCACCTCCACCCTTCCATCCCACAGAATGGAGTACAAAGGTGGGAGGTGCTTAGCTCCAGGCTCCGAACCACAGGAATCTGGATGCTAGCTTCCTTTAGTGTTCTGAATATAAGGAAAGAAGAGTGCTCTCTTGGCTTTAGGTAGTAGGTGATGGGGAATCTGTTTTTGCATTGATAGGATTATACCTCCCTGGCTAGAACAGCCATAGTGGAAAGTCGGGGAGGGAGGTAACACTTCATTCTTGGATGAATGCATAACCATACCTAAAAGAGAAAACTAGTCAGCCAGGTTATGAAAGTATGGCATTAGATTTTGATCCCAGATTTGTATATGCTAACTCACAGGCTTTTAACAATCTGTTAAACATTTAAAACATTTTAAAAACAGTTACTTACTATGTGGCACATAATAGGAACTCATCCTTAAATGAATAAACGTCATTGTCCTTAACCAAGGTGGGCATGGTGGGTGCCCCATGAGTTTTGGAAGCCAGGGGCTGTAATAGAATTTCTTCTACTTGCCAACAGAGACACCTTTAAGGTGGTCCTCTGATTAACTTGTGCCTCCAGTCAGGGGTGTGCCAGTCTCTGCCTTTCCCAGAACCATCTCACCTTCCTCCGCCCTTCAGTTTCCTCCTAACCAACGAAGGAGAAAGCGCCTTTCTCCCTGGTCCTTCCTGGGTCCAAGTGGGCTTGTACTGCCCCCTGTAGGTAATATTGTCTTCTTGGTTTTGCCCTTTCATCCCCACTACCACCCTCTTCACTTCACCCCACCTTCTTCCTCCCCATGACATTTCCAAACAAAGCCTCAGACCTGGACAGTAGTCTTCCACACCTTCATTACAGCATTTCAATCAGGTGATGCGTCAGTACAGTACTCACTGTCAGCCCCTTGCTCAGAAACTTTCAGTGGGTTCCTACTGTCTCAGTCTGACATTCAAGGATCTCCCCAACCAGCTACTCTCTTCCCTTCCCAACTACTCTCTACTCTCCTGGTTAAATTCCAAACTAGTCCATTAATTTTCCCCAAATATCTGGCCCTCTGCCTTTATCCCCTTTTTCGCTCAAAAAAAAAAAAAAAAAAAAAAAAAACCCCACCACTTTTAAGTTCTACAAAGCTGCCTGTGACCTCTCTAATCACAATGACTTTTTCTCGCAGTCTGGCCTCTTTAGCTCTGTTAACTCATTCAGCACCTCCCACATGTTCCATTGTATTGCTATACAGTCATGTGCCACTTAATAGGCTATATGGTACAGCCTGTTGCTTCTAGGCTACAAGCCTGTACAGCATGTTACTGCACAAAACAGCACGAGATTAAGTCAACAGAAAAATCAATCAAGAGACAATGAACAGATGTATGAGGCTGCTGCTGGCATAACAGCAAACTCTTACAAGTAGAGCACACTCTAAAATGATAAAAATATAGTATAGTAGACAAACCAGTAACAGTCATTTATTATTAAGTATTATGTACTGTACATAATTGTATGTGTTATGCTTTTATGTGGCTGGCAATGCAGTTCATTTATGCCAGCATCACCACAAACATGAGTAATGCATTGGGCTATAATGTTGGGACAGCTATGACATCTATGACATCACTCGGCAACAGGAATTTTTCAGCTCTATTTCAGTCTTATGGGACCACCATTTTATATGTGGTCTGTTCTTGACTGAAACATGTGGCACAGGACTATATATCATGTTCATTCATTTATGATTTAATTTTAAAGTGATTTTTGTAACCAAAGTAATTTTTATTGTAAAAGATCCAAACAAGACAAATTTACAAAGCAACTTGTGGAACCTGTTCCCCTCTATTCTCCCATTCACAAAGGTAATCACCCTCGGCTATTCGGTGTGCATCCTTCTAATTCCTTTTCTAAACACAGTACACACATTTGGAGAGAGATTAAAATATAAAGGGGCTCATCACATCTAGCTTTTTTTTTGGTTACTCTTAAAATATATAATTTGTCTTAGAGATTTTTCATATTAGTAATAGATCTCCCTTTTTAATGGTTTCTTGGTATTGCATGGTATATTTATTCAAAATAAAACATTTGTCTAGAATCTGTTACATAGAAGGTATTGTGCAGCTAGTACCTTATCATTGCCATCAGTGAGCTGGCTCTTCGAGGAAATGGGTAGAGAGGAGTGGGAACATACATAAATAACTGCAACACAAGGAAAAAGATAATAATGTCCCCGAGTGTATGCCTGAAGTTCAGAAATAAGGGAAGTCCCTTCTAGCTCACAGAGTCAGTGATATTTGAGCTTGACCTAGAAGGAGCTTGATGGATGGAAGAATAGCATGAGCCTGGGCAAAGATGAAAACACATGAGGCAGGTTCATCTAATGCCAGACCACATAGTCCATGAGGAGGAAGGATCAATTCATAAACATTTATTGAGCTGCTATGTCGTATACCATACTAGGCACTGAGAATATAGAAATGAGAAAGATGAGGTTCTTGTCTTTAAAAGGTTTTCATTTAATATTGTTGAATGGAATAAAAGCCAAGTTTAGAAAGGCAGATCAGGACCAGATGATGAAAACTTTCAATTGGCATGTCAGGGAGTCTGAATTTTATTCGCTGGACTATGTGGAGCCAAGGCAGGCTTTTTAGTAGGTAGATGACATGACAAGTTGAGCAGATGCAGCAATGTACAGAATGGGCTAAAATAGGAGGAGGCTGGGGATGAGGAGTTTGTTACCTTTTTTTTCCTTCTTCCTTTCCTCTTCCATCTCCCCCTCCCCACCTTTTCTTTTAACAAGATAGGAGTTAATTTCTACTTTAATTAGAAGGTATCTGGTGGTAGGCAGTCCAGGACTAATATGGCGGCTCTACAGTTATCAGGACTTTGGCTTTGATCTTTGCACTTCACCATCCTGGCACTTCACCTCCATCCTCATGGTCACCTGATGGTCTACTATGTCTGCTAGAGCATAAATCATCTCATCTACATTCGAGGCAGCAGAAAGAAGGAGATTAGGGAAAGTGAGAGGAGCACATAATGACACACTTATTAGCTGAATTAACTCCCTTTAAGGAGCCTTCCTGGGAAGTCTGAGAATATTTCCAATACTTCTGTTTATCTCTTATTGGCCAAAACTTAGTCAATGGCCTTATTCAGCTTTAAGAGAGACTTGGAAGTAGATTTTGTTTATTTTTTAAAGTTTTTCCCTTTTTAAAAAAATTGAGGTATATGCATGCAGTGCAATGTAAAGATTTTAAGCATAGTTTGATCAAAGTTCTGACAAATGCCTATACCCATGTAACCCATATCCCTTTCAAGATATTGAGCATTCCATCACCCCCTGAAATTCCCTCCTGTTGAGGGGGCTTTTTTTTTTTTTTTTAAATAACCTAAAAGAGTTAATGAGGGCTTAATTAGGGTGGCAGCCGTGGGAATGGAAAGAAAGATCTGGAGAGGCTGTGGAGGGGGAATCCAAAGGAGACTTTTTGGATGTGGAAGATGAGTTGGGCTTGAATGCTGACAGCAGAGCCGCTAACAAACAGGAAGTTGGGAGTGAAGTCTAGATTATTGCAGATGAGAGGAAAGGAGAGAGAGGAATGAGTACAGTATTGGGTGTGTTGATTTGAGGTGCTGGTCAAACATCCAGGTGGAGATACCCAGTAGGCAGTTCTGTTTAAAGCCTGGGAGGGCAGTCAGAGCTCAAGTGGCTTCAAATACCAGAGAGATGCTAAGGGAGGACAAGGGACCAAGAAGTGACCAGGAATTTGGTGACTGTGAGCTTCCTGATGACTTTTAAAGGAGCAAAGTCCAGATGCCAACGCCTGAGTGGGCAGTGAGGGTTTAAATCATGCAGAAAGGGAACTGGTAGAGTAATGTGAAATAATTTTGTAATGTTTTAAAAAACTGATGTCCTTATACAAACATTAAAGGGTTATATGTCGCTGCCCTTCACAGAGGTTTTTTGATGAAAAGAGAAAGAAAATGGTAGTGTCAGGAAAAGATCAGGGATTAACCCTGTCCTTACAGGGAAATAGCCCTTTGTACTTTCCAGTTAGCTTTTAAAGAACAGGGGGATGGGACAGCTCCCTGCCTCCTTTTGGATATATGACCTCCAGATATTCAAGCTGAAGGAGTAGAGGTGGGAGAGGGATGCTGCCTTTGGCAACTGCTGGGGTGGGATGGGCCAGCCAGACACTGCCAGGATAGATGTGAGGAGACGTGTATCTTTGAGGCAAGAGCAGAGAGCAAAAACTGGACTCTGGCAGTGCTGGGTTTGAATCCTGTACCTGTCACTACCTAGCTAGATGATCGGCAAGTTTTTTAACCTGAGTATCCAATTCCTCATCTGTAAAATGGAAACATACCTTTCAGGGTGGTTTTGAGGATTACAAAGTTCCTGTCACACAGTAGGTAATCAATCATAAATGGGTGCTATTATGTGACCCAACTTTTCGCTGTGGGACAGAACGGCTAACGGACGACAGGCGAATCAGAATCTGCTGCCTCCCAGTTTTAAAGGGTAGGAAGGGCTGCCTGCGGCCTCCTCCCTCCGGGAGGTGGGGACAAGGTGGAGGAGGGGCTGCAGGAGGAGGAGCTGGTGTGTCGCGACCCCGCCCCCTACCGTCCAGTCCTGTCTGGCCTGGGCGCTGAGGGAAACGCTGCCCTAGCCACTGCCACCGAGCAGCCTGACCTGGTGCCCTGCGTCCTGTCCCGTGTCCAGTCATGACCCTGCACCCGTCACTACTCCCACTCTGTCTGCTGGTGCTGCTGCTGCTCAGTGGGATAGTGTGCCGGGATGAGACTGGGTTCGAAACTGAAAGTCCTGTCCGGACCCTCCAAGTGGAGACCCTGGTGAGGAGATTGTCCCGGTCCGTGGGGGCCGGGCCTTGTACGGGAATACGGGTCTAAACGAACCTGCGAGCAGACCGGAGAGGAAATGCGAGAACAGTTAGGAGGCGCTGGGTCTAGGGGCAAGAACGGAATCTTTGGAGGATTCTCCATGACTCCTGTAGTCCCATCATAGGTGGAGCCCCCCGAACCGTGTGCGGAGCCCGCTGCTCTTGGAGACACACTTCATATACACTACACGGTGAGGGGTCTGGGGGCCGGGGCGGAACCTGGGAGGGGGCGGTGCTCTGAGGAAACACGTCAGCTTTGGCTTGGCTTGGACACGTGGCAAGCAGTTCGGGAGTAACTCCAAGCTCTGGGGTCTTCCAGCACGTGGCAGGGAGTGCGGGGGGAGGGACAGATGCTCCTCTTTGTCTATTTTCCCTCCCAGCTTTTCCTCCAGTTCCTTTTGGGCAATGAGAAGTGCCAGCCCTTTGGGGCTTCCTGTTCCTTTCTGTCCTGAGGGGCGTGCTAGGCAGCAGCTGCTAGGGGGTTGCCCCGCCCAGCGGCCCAGGTGCGTGTAGCTCCAACTGGGAGGGAGAGGTACTAGGTGGGCACTCTGGATGCTCTCTCCCCCCAGGGCAGCTTGGTAGATGGACGCATTATTGACACTTCCTTAACCAGAGACCCTCTGGTTATAGAACTTGGCCAAAAGCAGGTGATCCCAGGTATGTGACATATACCTCCCTTTCCTTTGCTTTCCAACATAAATGCTTTCTTACCCTCTTCAAACCCTAAGGTACCTTGGAAATGACCCTGGGAATTAGTAAGACCCCAGGTCTCTACCAGCTCTCCTGAGATTCAAACCCCACTTTTTATACTCCCCTTGTTCTATACCCTGCTGGAAGCCAGAGATTTGAGAGGTGGGGCGCTCAGCTAAGGGTCAAGAGGGAGCCTTTGCTCTCCTCTCCTGGGATTTGGAGAATGTAGGTAGCTTCCTGTTCAGTTGTGTCTTCTTCCTCAAGGTCTGGAGCAGAGCCTTCTAGACATGTGTGTGGGGTGAGTATCTGGGTAGGGGTGGGCTTGGGTACCCCCTTTGCATGGGTAGAGAGGCTTTCTCTGCTATCCCTGCTCCTAGAGGAGACAGGAGAACATGGATAAAGGGCTCTGGCTTTGCTCTAGGGCAGTCTGGGTCATTGGGACCCTGAGAGGGTATCCAAAGCCTCTACACCTCTCTTGCTGTGGGTTTTGTTGGAGGAGTTGAGGCACATGGGGGGATGGATAACTTTGCTGGTCAACCTGTTAGGTGTCAGATGGGAAAGTCATGTTTGGGTGTGAATATCCAGAGGGTTTTGCTGGTGGGGCTTCAGATGACCTGAGGCTACTGGCCCACCTGATCCCACCTCTGGCTGTGACTTACATTCTTTCCCTCAGAGAGAAGCGAAGGGCAGTCATTCCATCTCATTTGGCCTATGGAAAACGGGGATTTCCACCATCTATCCCAGGTAATCTGACTAGATCTCTCTCTCAGACCATCAGAATACCCAGTCTATAAGGGCTATAGGGAGCTACACTTAAGTTTGCTAGAAAGAACAGGAGTGGGTGGGGCCTCCTCCTTCTGCAGGGCCACTTTTTTCCTCTTTAGATTACCACAGGGTCTGGAGAACCTGTTAAGGCCACCTGGTTTGCCCTGTTAGCCAGCAGCTTTTTAGGGAGAAGAGAGCTGCCTCTGCCATATGGGTCTGCCACCTTTGCCACCCTTCCCAGAACTTTGACTTTTTTCCTGCCTTCTCCATATAATTCCAAACTATGTCATTTGTGCAGTTGGCATGGCTTCTCACCATACTTCCACCCTTCCTTTCACCCTTCCTTTCTATTCCTTCACCAGGGAATAGATAGTAAAAATGATCACAGTCAAGTAATTCAAAACAAAATGAAACAAGAAAACAGCTTTTAAAAGCTAAGCCCACCCCATAACTTTAAAAGCTCTCACAGGTCACTGCTGATATTCTATACTTGAAGGCCTGAGACTGGACAGATTCCCCAGGATTTGTATCTCTCGCTTTTGATTATAACATATTCTCGTAACTAAAATGTGTTGTATTTCAGAGATTGGGGTAAAAGTTTTCATCTCAGTTCCAGCTTAGAGGGAGACATGGAAAGAGGGTAGGGGGACTAATAAGAAACAAACTCTTAACCCAAAGCTCTATTACCTCCTGCTTTCTAATGCTGCTTCTTTCTGCATCTCTCTCCCCACCTCCACTCATTTCTTCACCCCTTATTTCATAAGACATATCCTTCTTTTCCAGCTATTAATATTGAAACACCTATCTTTTCTAATAATCACATTGAGTGTGCTCATTGGTTGGTGGAATTTTCAAGAGTCTAGTTTAAATCCTATTAGTTTCAGCCTGCAAAGATTGTATCCATGTGGCAATTTGGAGTACAGTTAGTATCAAGGTTTCTCTCACTTATAAATGGAGAACAGTACGTATATTTCAGATCCACAGAAAGTTTGCCTGTGCTATCAAACACCTGTCATGGATCACAAGCCACACTTGTATATTTGGGGTAAAGATGACTATCACTAGACTCTGCTCATAACCCATCTCTGCCTTTGTGTAAGGGAACTCAACCCCCCATTTAAATCTTGCCAGCTTCATAGTTCTTGCTCTGGTGTGGACTGCCCTCCCTGTTTTTTATTCAGATTCAGTCCTGGGTAAACTGCACAGAGATTCTAACCCTCACCTCTTCTTTGCCTTCAGCGGATGCAGTGCTGCAGTTTGATGTGGAGCTGATTGCACTGATCCGAGCCAACTACTGGCAAAAGCTGGTTAAGGGCATTTTGCCACTGGTAGGCATGGCCATGGTGCCAGCCCTCCTGAGCCTCATTGGTTATCACCTATACAAAAAAGCCAACAGACCTAAAGTCTCCAAAAAGAAGCTCAAGGAAGAGAAACGAAACAAGAGCAAAAAGAAATAAAAAATAATAATTTTTAAAAACCTCTTTGCATTCTTCATCTGGTACTTTCTAAAGCTACTTTTGCAAGTGGGAATGAGGTAAAGGGCTAGAGAAAAGACATTCTGAATTGGATCTTGCCTGGCATGGGGGTGGTTGGAGACTTAGAACAACTCTTCCTCTGGCCTCCTCTTCTTGTCCTAAATTACCCCAAGGACCTGGTCTTGAATCTTCCCCTGGATCTCTAGGTCTTAAAGGTATGGGTTTTGGCTCCCATGGTGCCCTGACCTCAAGAACAATGCTTCATTGAGAAATAAGCCTGCAGATAGTTGCCTAGCTATTCTTTCCACTCCCTGGGGCCACTATATTCCTAGTGTCCTCAAAGTAGACTGTTCTGTCCCATATGGCCAAGATATAAGGAGCTCATGAACTCTGTGGGAATTTTTAATAGCGAAGTACTCAGGTCTCTTGAAAAATTCTCTGGGGGTTGAAGAGATTTTTTGGCTTGTATCATAGGATATGGGAGATCACGTGGGCTGCTTCAATGATGTTGTAAGTAGTTGGAGGTTTTTTGTCACCTGGCTGGGTTGTGGGTATGGACAAGGGCTGGGGTAAGTTGCTTCGATGGTTGACGACGAAAAGTGGGTTGAGCTGGCTCAGCACTTCATCACTCACTGAGATGCCATCCAAGTACTGCTTGAGCATCTCCCGCAGCTTCCTGTTGATTTCTAACAACTGGGCACGTCTGTGTTGGAGGCTCAGTTGCTCCAGTTTCACTTTGTTGTACCTTTTCCAGAAATTCTCTAACCCTATGTAGTCTGCTATCACCTGGGAGTTGAGTAAAGGGAGAAGGTGTGTGGTGGGGCCCATTAGCGAATACAGCCCAGTGCCCCATCATCCCCAGGAACTTTACCTTTGCCAGCTCCTCAGTAAACTCTTCTGGGTTAATTTCCTCTATTTCCTCCTGCTCCTCGGGAGTCAATGTTGACGAATAAAAAGGCAGCACTTTTTCTTCCTCTGTTTCAAATTTCCTACATATTTCAGCAAGTTTAAGGATCTTTTCACCCTATTGGAAACAGGAAGAGACCTTTCATTAGAAAAGGGGGTAAGGAAGAGGAATAGCAGAGTTGGCTTCCCTGCTTAAACCAAAGAAGCTACTGATGGGAGACAGAAGTAATATATATCTAACACAGAGTGCTTACTGTGTTCCAAACACTATTCCAAGTACTTTATAGTCTTATACAATTCATTCAATATTAACTCATTTAAAATGTGAGAGGGCAGGGAACACAAAATAAAAAAGGTATTCCATGTGTCCACCCAGGCAGGAAGCAGGAGGAAGCCTCTTTTATTGATCTCAAAGCCCTTTCACTTCACAGGGAGCCAGGTTCCTTGGCTTTGTTTGGACCACCCTCTCCCCTTTGTTACCTTATCAACAATCTTTCTCAAGGCTTTGATGGTGGCATTACTTTCCAGGGTGAGTTTGACTAAGTTCTCCTGTGATATTTCCCGGGCCTGAGTCCTTTGGGCCTTAAGTTTTCGCAGTTGTACGTGGACCAACTCTTTGTCATCACGAATATACTGGTTCTGTTCTTCACTCTCACGGCTATGCACCATGATCTTGCCTTTTAAAATAATTATAGAATCCTGGAGAAACAGAGTAGATTAGAGGAAACAGTTGACAAACTGAGGGTCTTCAATGAGAGGTAAAAGGACTGTCTGGATACTGAAATCAAAGCATATCATCTTTCCCCAATCAGTCATGAGGCCCAGTGGAAATTGGGGGAAGATGAACAGGGGATAATTGAGCAGTTAAAGCAATGAATATTTCTGGTTGGCTGCACTAACCTGTAGTCTCTGTATTTTTTTCATCTGTGCTTCAATCTCTTTGGAACTCTTCTCATCCTTCACCTTCAGGGTCTCAAAGGCAACCTTTCGATCCTCTGTGGCATCAGTGTAATTCTTGAGTGCATCCTGGAACCTTCTCCATAGGTCTTCTACTACATTCTCCAGTTGCAGCCTTAGAAAGTGCTTCTCTTCTAAATTCTAGGAAGTGGCTCCAAAATAACCAGCATTTAGAATTACCCTATTAGTGCCCTTTCTCTATCACCAGCAACCTCACCCTCTTGCATTGTTTATATGCACGGGTCACCAATGAAAATCCCTACAAAGACCAGGCAAATAATATAAATAAGTGCTGTGGGGTAGATGGGGCCTGTGGTGAACCAGAGAAAAAATGTTCTCTGGAAGCGGGCAAGCGGGGAAGAAACAGCTGCTCGATTCTACATGAATGCCATCATTTGGAAATACAGTCCAGTATTACCAGATCTTTAAATTTTTCAAGGGAAGCTGAAAATTTGGATTTTTACAAAACACTATGGGGCAAAATAAAAAAACAAGGAACCTTCTATTCAAACCTAGGTTTGCAGGCTGGCTAAGTTTGCAGCCTCTAGGATGTTGGAAAGCACGTTGGGCCAAGGGGCAGGAGACTGGATTCTCCTTCTGGCTGTTCCACAACCAGCGGCATGACTTTGATGGGTCATTTTACTTTTGGGGGCCTCAGAGTCTTAATTTACAAATCATAGGTGAAGTCAGATGATCTCCTTGTTGCTGTTTTTACCTCTAAAATGCATTTCCTTGACATTTCAGAAGGGGCCTCCCTCCTGACCAATTTCACAAAAGTACATAAGGCAGTAGGGGTACCTACAATGGCAACAGACATTTTATTGATTACGTTGGTTAAGGGGATCTCTTCTACCTCTACTGGTCTTGAGCATTTTTCTCTCACTTCTCTCCCAGTTCTTGCCTATCTACTCTCCCTCTGTACCTTGTTTTTGAGATCGTCCCACATGCTCTGGAACTCCAGCTTGCTTTCATACTCAGAATCTATATAGTTCTGCTCCATGGCCATGAAAACATCTTGTAGGTAGTGAATCTCTTTTTCATGTTGGTCAATAATTGTCTTCCTATAGGAGATAAGGCATTGTCTCTGCTCTGAGGGATAAAGCATATGGACCAATAATGACAATTCAAAGCAATACGTAAAAAAACTACACAAATGGTACGAACTCTTACGTACTGAAGGAGAACAGAGGGAGGGCAGGTTCTATTCTTTTTAGAGCCAAAAAGAATGAATAAGATTATTTTATTTCAATTTTTAAATAGGTAATATATTCATATGATATAAATATCACAAAGTACAAAGGATTACAGTGAGAAGTCTCCTTCCCATTCCTGTCCCCTGTCATATAGATAGGATTTTGACAGTTCAAAGTGGGTGGTGAGGGTGTTATAGGTAGGGACCTGGCTTGGGCAAAGGGAGGCTAAGGACACAAGCTTAAACCTGAATTAGTTTAAAGGAACTCAAGACCTTTTCTACTGGAGGTCATGTCATAATCATGGTGGGGTGCTCCAGGGTGCTGGGCACCCGCTTATAGACACTCTGGAAACTCCCCTGGACTCAAATCCCCATACCTTTCTATCTCAAACTCTTTGGTTAGGGCCTCCAGCTCCCTGTTGTAACTTTCCTCTAGGAGGTTGAGTCGGCATCTCTGCAGGGCCAACAGCTGGTCAACGTTGTGCAAGTGGCTGCGCAGGGCATGAGCATACTGTTCCTCAGCTTCTGACAGGTCCTTAGCTAAAGACTGGGTAGGAAACAGAGAGTTACCATTTTGGCTGGATGGCTTCTCTGTGAGAAAATAAAAATGTATTCAGTTGGCTAGCTGGATGATATGAATGACATTTTCCCTTAGTTCCTAATGCCAATTCTTTGGCTCTACGAGTACTGGTTCTCTCACTCTTGAATGTAAAGTAAGAGTGACATCAGGGAACCTCAGGTAGCCAGCCAGTGTCCTAGGGACAACAAACATTTACAGTGATTGGGCTATACCACTAAAAGGAGCCATGGTTTCTTGGAGAAATGGTTGCTTTGAGGTCTGAGGTAAAAATAAACAAGTTAAACCTAGGGTATCTTGTCAGGCAAGAGAAGGAATCAAGCATTTATCTTTATAGATATATAAGAATATATAAACTGTACTTTTCTTATATAAACTGTACCTTTGGGTAATTGAATGATAAATGATGGGGAGTATCACTTTAAAGAAGTATTCAAGCTAATAAAAAAATGAATGATAACATTAGAAAATCAGCATTTTGTAATCCCCAATGAATTAATAGATAATCAATAGTTGCTAATAGCACAAAAAGAGATAATGGAAGAACACAATACCTCCAAGTTTTAGATCCAATAACCAAGATACAGGAAATACAGAGGACAAAGTAACATGTTAAACTACAATACCGAATACTATGCAGTTGTAAAAAGACAAAATAAGAAGCTCTTTATGGGCTAACATAGAATAATCTCCAGGCATATTGTTAAGAGAAAAAGGCAAGGGGCAGAACAATATGTAATACTACCATTTGTGTAAAAAAAAGTTTTACTCATGAAACTAAAATTATCGGGAGAGGCACTGGGTGGCTGGAAGGCACCAGTGGGAGGGGACTTTTCTCTATATAATTTTTTATCTTTTGAATTTTAAATAATATGAATGTGTTACCTATTTTTAAAAAGTGAAATTAAAGTAAATAAAACAAAAAGCATTTACTGAGTTTCCATACGACCCAGACACCTTGAGTCCACTCACTGTAAACTACCACAACCTCTGCAGAGTTAGCTTTTACCTGATATGTTTCTCATGAAAAAGGATCTTAGGAAATATGTTCTGATAATGGAAGGCTATTCACTCACCCAACAAACGTTTACTAAACCTGTTATGTACCAGCACTGTGCTGGATGCTGAAGATCCAGAGATTGAAAGACATGCTCACTGCCCTCAAAGGAGTTTGCAGTCTTGCAGCAGAAAAAGAGTTATATAAACAGAACATCACATTATGACGTGGAACTTGTTATGAAGTTAATGATTTACCAGTGACAATGAGATATAAAGGACTGAGTGCTTACATATAACTAAGAACACTGGGGAAGGCTTCACAGAAGAGATGTCATTTGTATCCCTCTTCAGGATACAAGAATTTGCCAGGAAGA